CAGCACCTCTATCCACCTTATCAACCAAGGCCTCCACTACAGCATTGAAAAATCTTACAGCCTCCCTTGCTCTATATTGCACCAAGTGTTTCCTAAGTCAGAATCAGTTGGAGAATGGCTTCCAGCACCTGACGCAGACAGCTGAACATTACAACCCCCAAGCCTGTATTACTTGAGACTATTCGATTTGGAGCCCATACACTTTACAGAAAAGTCTTTGGGAAGTAAGAAATGAAGGAAAACTTTTTTTTCAAACCACGTAACTAATCACACCGAGGCAATAAATCATATTCAATGCCCATTTTCACAAGTAATGATGAGATTTTGTCATCAATTTTTTTAAACAAGTTGTTGAGCTTAAATTTGCTCTAGTACTCTCCAGAAACAGTTACCTTGATCTTTTAGTTCAGCAACCAGTGTTTCAGTAAATTCATATCCAGCCTTCAGCGTGACAAAGCAGTAGAGGCATTCTCCTTTTATTGGATGGGGATGACTTACAGCAGCAGCTTCAGCTATAGCTGTGTGTTCTATTAATGCAGACTCCACTTCAGCAGTGCTCAAAAGATGCCCTGTAAACAATTAATACTTTCTTCCCTTAGATAGTGTTACAATGAATAAAGTAGTTCATCATTGTGTGTACACATTTTAACACTCAGCAAAAACATTGTCCCAGAAGTATGAGCTCGTGTTGATGTTTGCAAACAAACTATAAGCACTGTTAAGTTAAAAAAAAACAAACAGCAGGGTGAGGTGAGCAGAATAGAATTGAATAATATCAATTCAGGAAACAATTCAGAACAGGGATATGGCGTCAAGGAATAAAATTAAATGGACCATCTGTAAGTAGGGAAAACTGAAGTATAGGGAGGAGTGTGCCTCATTCTGAATGAGACTCCCTAGAGTAGGTGTTCTCTACCTGGGGCATGCAGTTCCTAGGGGCCTGCCAATTTAGCTGGCACTGCCCTACACCTATCTGCATCACACACAAGTAGCAGTGATGCTTTCTGTGCCCTTAAAATCCAGGTGGCTGAGCACTGGGAGAACAGCTCAGTGCAAACAATACGGGTGAGGACCAAGTGGTTCAGAGTCAATTATAAACTGAGAATGTGTCAAGGTATAGCCCATGTACCAGCATGCACAATAGTGCTTGGGTTGTCTGCAGTGCAACCATAAACACACCAGTCTGTCTGCAGATATTCAGACTGTTCAGGCCCTCTTGTCGTGACTGAGATAGGAAAGAAGCTGGTGTAGCCCTCCACATTACACAAGACAACTGAACCCAGGTACTGACTGCAGCTAGGAGTCTAAAGAAACCATTACAGAAACTGGATGACCCAACATGAGGCAAAAATTGGGATGAATTAAACTACACGTAAAGTGTGTATTAGCACGTGTCAGAATCTGTTGCTGGGGATTAAAGTAGGTGTAATGCAGGGCAAATGAGACCATTTTAAACTCACCTAACAGTGGGCTACTACTGTGTATTTTGGCTTCTGATAATATTAAAACTGGATTGCAATTTAACAACAATTAGACAGCAAAGTAAATAAATATAGAATATTTTTATGAGGCTGCACTAGAGACTCTATTTTTCTGCTGGTTGCCATCTTCTATATTACGTCCAGGATCCCTGCATAATCCAGTTTGACTGTTGGTTGCAAAACTTCCAGTGAATAGAAGTTAAATCCTTTTGAGAATTGAGATTTTTTTTTTTTTTTAAAAGTTAGGAGAACGTACATCACATATTCATTAAGACATCTACAGACATGTCCATACATAGGCTGAATGGCCTCCTTTCCTGCTATCATGTCCTTGCTGGCAGTTGCAGGAACAACTCAGTCCCACTCCCTTGCATTTACCCAGTAGCCTTACACATCTTGCTCTTAAGATATATAAGCACTTCCCTTTGAAAATCATAACAGAATGTGTTTCCACCAGGCTATCAGGCAATGCATTGAAGATCCTAACCACTTGCTGCTAAGAATGTTTTATTTCCTGTTGTTGTTTTGATTCTTTTGTCCTATGCCTTATATCATCTAGTTCTCAAACCTGTTACCAATGAAAACAGTTCATAGAATCCCTACAGTGTGGAAACAGGCCCTTCGGCCCAACAAGTCCACACCGACCCTTGGAGCATCCCTCCCAGACCCATCCCCCTAATCTACACATCCCTGAACACTATGGGCAATTTGGCATAGCCAATCCACCTAGCCTGCACATCTTTGGACTGTGGGAGGAAACCGGAGCACCCGGAGGAAACCCACACAGACACGGGGAGAATGTGCAAACTCCACACAGACAGTCGCCCAAGGGTGGAATCGAACCCAGGTCCCTGGCGCTGTGAGGCAGCAGTGCTAACCACTGAACCACCGTGCCACCCCTTATTTCTCCCTATTTATTCTGTCGAGAACGCTCATGATTTTAAGCACCTCTACCAAATCTCCTCTCAAATAACTCCAAGAAAAACCTTTTCTTTTTCAACTTGTCCATGCAACAGAAGCTCCTCATCCCTAAAATGCTTCGAAATAAATCTTTTCTGCACTGTCTCTAGCATTAACAGGTGTCCTAAATTGAACAGTATTTCCAATGAGGCTGAACCAGTGGTTAACAGTTATTTCAGTACAATTAGAAACATGTAGTACTGTGTAGAATAGGTTGTTTATAAGTTCATGATGATGGTTGGAGCAAATTCTTTGAAAGAATTCCTTATCCTGATGCAAGTTCAGAAATCTCCTAGTCACGTGGACCAGAATTGCCCTTCCAGTGAGTACAATGGGCCACCACTTAGAAGTCTTGATTAAACTAATTTAGTAATAAAATGTAGTAGGGCCTTTCCACAAGATCATCCTAATTACAGAAAAGATAGGCTAATCTTAATCCAACCAGCCAACTTTCACATCAAGTAGGAACAATAAAGATAACATTGTTTAATTGTATAAGTAATTTTTTTTGCAGAAAAAGACAGAGGAAGGCATCAGAGCAAATAATCTCACTCGGCTTCGCCTTGCTGAAGAGTTAGTTCATGTTTGATTTATGGTGCAGATTTAAAATTCATGAGGAGTGGTTCTGACCTTGTGATGGCCTTCTTTTTGGTTCCCAACAGAAATAATACGAACTAGAAGTCTTACCAGATACATTTAGCATGTCATCAATCCTTCCAGTGATCCAGTAATAACCATCTTTATCTCTCCTGCAACCTGTCAACCAAATGTAATGATTTTAAACAAAATGTTTGTTTAAATTAAATTTATGCATATTTAGTAAAAATAAGAAGAATGTAGACAGTACCAAAATATTGCTAGCTAATCTGATTTCAGAAACAAATGGTGCATTTTTAAAATGTACAGACATTCATAACTATTTGCTTCATGGTCAAGGAAAGAAAGAACTTGCATCCACAGAGCATCTTCATGACCTCTCAACTTGCCAAAGTGTTTTACTGACAATGAAATACTTGTGAATATTATCACTGTTTACATATCCATTAGAAGTCTCGTTTAAGCAATTCACCATCTCCCGTGACAAAATATCCAGGGAACTTCTTAAAGTAGGTGGTTTCAAAACGCTGATGGTTGCCATAAATTGTACGCATTATGGATGGCCAAGGCTTCTTGAATACCTGTATGTAAATAAATTTAAGGAACAGACATAGTTTAAACTAAGTAATATAGCTCACTGTCAGTTAGAAATATTAAATCAATGCATTGCGACATTGAAATATAAGCCACATATAAGTAAGTTAATCACGTTAAGAGTTATGACTCATATTACACAACAGACAGTCTGTATTGTTCAAGATTCAACTGCTGTTGTAGTGACTGAAATCAATTTAATGCTGTCAAGTTTAAGTTTTAACCAAGTATTACTTATTTTGTGCAGTTGTTATCAATGCTATGATGATGAAAAGCATGTTTGTTAAAATATTGAAATAAACCATGCTCATCATGTTATTCAAGCAGGCTGTGTGTTTGGAGGTGAGAAGTAGAGAGAGAGGAATGCACTGAAGTATAAATGCAACAGATACTGCCACAAGAAGTTTGGAGACCTGACCATTTTCATAGACTGCCTGTAAATTGCTTCTATTTAAAGGTTATACTTTTTTAAGATCTTTATCCAACACATTCAATACTCCCCAAATAATAATGTGCATCCTGCTAATTCATGTTGCTCCAGCTACGAATTGGCAGGTACGTATTATAAGTTCAGGGTGTCTGTGCTTACCAATTCTCTTTGACTGCCATGGCAAGATCAGCAACACATCATAGTGGGTATAAACAATTTTCTACATAATACTTCACAGAATGCCTACAGTGTGGAAGCAGACCATTCACTCATCAAGTCCACATCGATCCTCCAAAGAGCATCCCACCAGACCCCCCACCTCCCTAACCAATCTCTGTAACTCTGCATATCCCATGGCTAATCCACCTGACGTGTGGAGTCCTGGACACGATGGGCAATTTAGCATGGCCAGTCCACCTAACCTCCACATCTTCGGACTGTGGGAGGAAACCGGTGCACCCAGAGGAAATCCACGCAGACATGGGGAGAATGTGCAAACTCCACACAGACAGTTGACCGAGGGTGGAATCAAATCCAGGTCCTGGGCACTGTGAGACAGCAGTTCTAACCACTGAGCCATTGTGCTGCCCCTTGCATGGCTAGAACTTTCTTTCCGGTTCAAGTGATGCTAGGAACTTGTGGTCACCATTTAATTTACTAATAAAGTGAATGCGAGATTATCACTCAGGAAAAGTGAGATAAAATGAAGGAAATTTGCTTGGTGACCAAATGACGACAAGGATGCCCTTAATGAAAATAATAATGAATAATAAAAAGCAAAGCTTTACCATCAACTGATCAGATTCAGTTCATCAATGGCAATTTCTGATTGGATCCATTATTTTTGCTTTAAAAAAGGCCAGTTTTTTGAAATCCTGGTGTATGTGTATTAAGGTCAATGGCAATCCTTAGCTTCAATTATAAGAACTTGGTTACAATTGGTATATTTAAACAGTCTGACATTTGGAGTTGCAGTTCCGGTTCCTCCTGGCAGTTCTGCGGTTTCTGCTCTGCATCTAACTGCATTTCACAATGCTAATCAGGAAAATAACTTTGCATGTATGTCATTATACTTTCCCTACACAGAGCTCTTCTCCCAGCAGTTATCTTTTAAATAGTATATTCTTGCACAGTGAATGCAGCAATGTCTGTAATGCTTGCAGGTTTATTTCAAGATATTACTTCATATTTAAAGATAGTTTGAAATTGCATTAGGTTTATCTGCAAAGCAATTTCATACTGTTTCAGTCAGGAGTTATGTCAAACTCTTTCTACAGATATTTAATGCAAACTTAGCAGCAAGAGGAAGGAGAAATGATCTTATACTTAAATAGTCGTAAAATACCTATCCTCTATCTAACTTCTACCGTCTCTCCTGAGGTGTCACTCAATACCGCACTTCTCACTGAGAGAACAGGAACTAAATGCAGCTCTAGTTGTTGCCCTAGTTGACATTAATTAAGAATGTAAATTAACAATTGAGCTTGAGATTTAATATAATGGCTTGAATGAAGAAAAATAGAACTATGATTTACATAGCACCATACACATGGCAGGAAATGCCTAAACATCTTATGGCCAATGAGACATACAAGGCATGGGTACAAATGTCATGCTGCGGCCAAGCTACAAACAGAAATCAAATGAACAGATAATTAGGCAACTTATTTTAGTTATCTCTTATTTCAATTATGTCATTCAAGAGATAAATGTTGACCAGGACAATGGGGAAACTCCCCATCTTCTTTAAATAGTGCTGTGTGATCACTTTTGGCCACTCAAGAGGCTGAACACTTCACTTAAAAAATGTATTTCTTACGTGCAGCACATACTCAAACTCAGCCTACATCGTTTCCAAGTCTCTAGAGCGGGGACTGAATCTACAACCCTCTGACTCAGATGCAAAAGTACTACCATTCGGTAAAAGTTACTTTAGTATCACATTCACATGCAAAGCGAATAGAAAACTCAAAAGTTAAATAACCCACAAACATTTTTCTAAAATCAGCCTACTTTGACTAACAAACTGAAATTGAGGTCTCACCAGTCATGAAATTTCCATTTTTGATGTTTAAAGTGTTGCATCACATTTGTAAAATAAATATCATTGTTCCTACAAAAATGCAAACCAGCAATGCATGTACACAAGTTCAACACTGTACTACAGGTACTTATAGAATGCTATATGCAGCTGGCAGATCTGTATTATACTGCTGACTGTGTGTCATGCTAATAAAAAAGGACATCCGCACGAAGCTGCTAATATGCACAGAAGACTGTTGATAAACCAATCTTCAATATGAAGAGAAAGACGGCAGGTGCTTGATACCAGTCATAAATTTAACAATTTAACTCCAAACAATTCTGAGACAATCCACCGAACATCAATTTACACCCAGCAGGAGAAAAGCTAGAGCTAGTGTGAACACCAAGTAACATGACATTGCTTATTAGGTATGGTCTCACTTTACTTGCTTTCAGTACGCTTGAGAATTAAACTATCAAAGCAATTACCAAGCCACAATGTTCATCAACTTGGTAATAAATAAGGAAAGCCATCACACTATGTTTAGTAGATAAGGATTTTGCATTTATAAATTATTTTTAGTGCACTTTCTAATATTTAATGCAATACACACTTCTTTAGGTATCAAAACATTCAATTTTTCATACCAAATAACCTTCGGCCTCTCCTTCCAGTTCTTCTCCAGATTCATTGAGAACAGCAGGAACAACACCAAAAAAGGGAAAAGTCTGAAAATTAATGAATATCTGAATTGAATATGAATTATTAGGGCTTACAATTTATTCATCAAAATTATAATAAACGCTATCATGATACATCTCCACTAAAAGGACTTACATAGGCAAAAAATTATAAATTTGGGATTTTGAATTTTGCACCAGGGACCAAATTTCATCTGAGACAATGGTAGGACCATTTTAGTTGTCCTTAACCTCCCCAAGTCAGAAAAGGAAAACTGGCCATGTCTGCTGGAAATACACATAATGATGAGACAATATAGTATTGAACACAAATAAAACACCACTTGAATATAGAAGTAGCAAGCACTTAATTCCTTTGCCATCAGATCCCAAGTCAAATGCTTTCAAGAGTGATCAACAGGACCACCCAAAATGCAAGTGACAGAAACTGAGGAGAAAGGAAAGAGAAAAAAAAGCACAAGGGGACAGCAAAACTAAATAAAAAATTTTGCTGTCAAATCTGGAAGAGAACTTTACTGGCCAAAGAGACAATAAAACTTAATTACAATTTATAGAAACATTATTCAGATTGAAGTCATCAGCTGGTATTGACAAGTACTGTCTCAGTACTGCCTATATTTCAAATGTGAAATGGTGCAGAAAGGACAGAACAGCCAATTTCAAATATACTTTGTTGTCCATACAAAGTGACAGATAATAGCTTGTTATAGTTATAGGTCTGCAAAGTTAATATTGCATTCAGCAGAGAAATATTTATGTTTTGGCTGATGAATGACATTTTACTCACAGCTGACCCTGGCTTCAGTGGGATGGCAGCTGGAAGAGGAGTAATCATGTGACCACCCTGCAAACAACAGATAATCTATATTAAGGCAAATAGCTGATAATCAAGACTGAAGTGAACACAATAATACAGTAAATGCTGAGGAAGTGGTAACATATCCTCATAACGAAGGAGCCCTAAGGAAGGATGGTATCTTAGAAAGCTTCTCAACTGAGGCTGCTTGTGTAGAACTTAAAAACAAAAAAGGGGGCAATCACATTGTTGAAAGTATATTATAGCAGACCCCCAAACAAACAGTCAGGGAGAGGCAGATGGGCAGATATGTAGGCAAATTTCACAGATATATTGATAAAAATAGTAGCAGATTTCAGCAACCCAAATTTTTTTTTCTTTAATCATTCATAGGATGAGGGCATCGCTGGCTAGGCAGCATTTATTGCCCATCCCTAATTGCCCAGAGGGCAGTTGAGAGTCAACCACATTGCTGTAGGTCTGGAGTCACATGTAGGCCAGACCAGGTAAGGATGGCAGTTTCCTTCCCTAAAGGACACTAGTGAACCAGATGGGTTTTTCCGACAATCAACAATGGATTCACGGTCATCATTAGATTGTTAATTCCAGATATTTATTGAATTCAAATTCCACCATCTGCCACTGTGGGATTTGAACCCGGGTCCCCAGAACATTATCTGGGTCTCTGGATTAACAGTCCAGCGATAATACCACTAGGCCATTACCTTCCCCCAATATTAACTGACATAGACAGCATGAAAGGCTTAGAAAAGGTGGCATTCTCAAAATATTTGTAACTTTTTA